TCACAATCTTAGGCATTTTCTGCTACATTTCCTATATCCGAAATCTATCGGAAAGGAGAGTTTCATCAGAAGAAAAGTTGCCTCAAGAATTCGAATCGACAAATTATTAAAAATTGCAATAGAATGTAAATAAACAGACATTATATTCATAAAAAGTTAATATCATTAATAAAAGGATTTATTGAGCTCATCATTGTCGGCTTTTCTGTTTTTGAACTGTCTGCCCAAAAACATTTCCTTTTAAAACCCTTCTATATTAATTGTGTTGCAAAGTTTTTCACTATTCCAATCATTTGAGTTTGAGTGTTCATTAAATTCTTGAAATCGATGTTTTATAAACAACACATTCCACTAGTAAGTTCTTATCATGAACCAAAAGAAGGCGGAGACGAAATAAATACCGAAAGAGACGCTAGTGACATATCGATTTTTTGCAATTCTCTTGCAAGATTTTAATATGTGAGTTTTAGTTGCGGTTGCCAAGAAAGTTCAATTCAATTACAACTTTTTGAGTACTTTAACACAAATTCACTAAAATGGGCAATTCTTCTACGAAGCGATCAACGGTTTGTTGTTGTTTTTTCTGAAATCATTGTTTGTTTTTTGTTTTTGTTTCATTGTTTTTTCATAATCATTGTTTTTTCCAGGGTGATCCTTCACGAACTCCATCGCAAACGATTCAAATTGATTGTGGGAAAGACACGGAAGGAAAAGCGAGAATAATCACAGCTCTGATTCCTAACGATTATCGACCGGATCTAGTAAGTTTCAGAAATAATTCTTTAAACAAATAAACATAATGATTTCATGATTTCATGATGTATTTGATAGTGCTTGTGAGAATGAGATGATGGTTTCAATTTGATAGTTTGAAAAACGAGATGATAATTTGAATTTAAACTTATCCAGACAAAAGTTTGAGGTTTAAGCTACATCTGAGTATATCAAACATGAATCAAACTGGGTAAAAGTCTGGGCCATGTTCAAAAATAAAAAAATTTCGAGTTTTAGTAGCTATGACACAAGATTACTACTAGGTTGATGCAAAAGAAATTTCGTTTTTTTTACAAACAATAAATTTAATCAGAATTCTTTTAGGCAACAATTAATTCCAAAGAATAAGCACCATCGTTATCTACAAAATGTAGATAACGATTTTAAAATTTTCTTTATTTCCCGGGGGGAAGGGGGGCGGTCGCGTCGGAAGATTCCGAACCTTTTCAAATTTCCCATCTTTTCGGGTAAAATTGAGTGTTTACATTCGGAAATCGCTTTTACCCTAAAACCATTTTTCTTTTTCTTCCCAAAACTATTAAAACAAAAAAAGAATTTTTATATAAAAGGTTTTAGATATTTCCCTCAAAATTGTTTTTTAGATAGGGTTTATTTTTCTTTTGGTTTTTTTAAAACTCTTTTTTTGATTGAATTATTAGATGGTAGATGTTATCTACAAAATGTAGATAACGATTGTAGTTGTAGATAACGATTGTAGTTATAGTTGTAGACTACAACCAGCTGCGCTGAGCATCCGTTTTCCTATGCTTTTCAAAAAATTTGCATTATTTCCCAAGGTGAAATTAGGTGTATCATGTAGTCGCGCTGAAAAAAATCTTACCGAAACACCACCACTTCAAAAATCTATCGAAACACCATCTCGGCGTGTTTTCAACTTTTTCAAAATCTGACTTGAGATTCGGAATTTTTAACTTTAAAATGGATGTTTTCAGTCCCCTAGTAATTCCCCGAAAAAAGCCTCGAACGGACGGACGAGCGTCGTTATATATAGTAGATATCCCTCCAAAGTTGCTTCAGATTGCGGATTCCCTTGTCGAAGAACTCTTGGCTCTGTGATTGAAAGTAGTCGGTCACCCAAATCTCGACCTCTTGCGCATTCATAAACTGGCAATTCGCAAGGCAATTTTGCATCGATCTGAAGAGGTGGACATTAGATGGTGATAAGTCTGGACTGTATGTGCGCATGCGGTAAGACCTTTCATCCTAATTCCTCTAACTTCATACAAGAAGCTGTGTGTGTGAGCTGGCAAGTTGTCACGGAGGAAATTTGACAGTCGAAGGATTTAAAGCCTTTTGACACAAAATTGGTCAACCTTCTCGAGCTGCTGAATAGAACAAGGTGCTGAATAGAGCTCTAATAATTCAAAATAAATTGATATTTCACCAGCAAGACAACATCACTTTGTGTTCATGATAGTTGGAAGCTTTGGATTTGGAATTGGCATTTGACCCTTGCCGAGCCATTGTCTTTTTCGAGGAGTGTTATCGATAAATCCACTTCTCGTCTATCGTCAAGATATTCTCAAACAAATGGATTCTTTTCGACTTGAGAAGCAAGATATGGATGATCAAAACTCGTGCGCCGAGATTCTCGGTGCTCAATTAATGTGGAACCCATCGTTCATGACGATTGGTCTTTCCGATTATTTCCAAATGGCAGACAATTGTTGATTGGTCAAATTGATCTTGCTCATTGATTGATTGATCTTTGATTGATCAAATTGGTCAACTTGATCACTCTGACTGACTTAGAAAAGCCCTCCTACTTAAAAAGAGTGTAAAAAAAAGTAAATATCCAAAAGTACAAAAATACAAAAGAAAATCATAAGCTTTCCAGGCTAAAAACAACAAGATTTTATGCCAATCGAAACTTCTTTTACATCAAGCTAGTAATTACGAATTTACCATATTTTCAAACTAAAGTATTTCATGAATCTGCTCCTTAAACCCTTTTAACCTCTTATTCTCATTGTAGAGCGACACCAACTATCGCTCGGAGGATCTAGATGAAAAGATATACCACAAAATTGGCCAAGGAAGAACCGTGACTGCTGTGTGAGACATTTTCCGCAAAATTTCTCGATGTAAACTTGCTTTCAAGATAAAACCTTTTCCAGAGCGGCTTTGCGTGAAATCAAAGGCGCGTTTGGAAACGAAACCGAAAGAGTCGTTTTGAAAGAGTAACTTTCATACCACTTTTGACGTTTGAATCAAATTTTGGGTACAACATCGATGGTTTCGTTACAAATCGAGTCCTATATCCCTACACGTCATTGCTACGAGAGTTCCAAAATCTTCAGTATTTGATGCACGATAATGTAAACTATTGCTTCAAAATTTTTGATAACCCAAAATAGTTTAGATCGCTGTAATGAAAGACTCTTTTTGGAGTTTTGATGAGCAGGGGATCTTGAATCATTTGTGGATTGTCACAGAGAGAATGGACTTCACGCTAGCGGATTTTTTCAGGTTTGTTGGTCATATGAGCCATCTTTAACAAGTTTCTAGATGAAATTCAGACATACAGCGAAAAAAGACTATACGCCAACGCCAAGGCTACGTGATCATCGCCATCTCGGAGCGATTCTCGTTCAGACCTTGCAAGCACTCGATTACCTGCATCAACGTGGGATCATACATCGGGTTGGTTGCTGTAATGTTTAGTTGAAAGCTTAATTCATTAAGTTGCTTTCTAGCTAACTGGGGAAAGGCATCAGGTCAAGGTGGCCTTTTAATAGGAGAGCCACGGGACTTTATACAGGGGCTGGGCTTGGAGGTGTCAGCTTTATCTGTGACCATTTGGTGCTACCTATATGTTGTTATTTTATATCTTTTGCTTTTTCATGTTTACCCTTGTTATTTAATATAGTTTCTGAGATTATATAGTGTTTTTTAGAGCTGGTCAAGCCGAGTGTTCATCGAAACTCGATCATAGCGTTGCATCAATGGGGGCTTTTGACACATGTAATTTCTCAAAATTGGAGTTTCTACGAGGCTCGTGAACAAAACGATTAAAGGCTTCAAGGAATTGGGAACAAATACTGATAGAGCTGGTCGAGAAAAATGGCGTTCTGTAGTGAATCAGTCCAACATCAAAAAAGTGCGAGAGAGGTTGTGATCTCAGAACTCAGAACGATCAGTCCGGTGATGTCATGCTAAATGGGAATTTCTAAACCTACAAGCTAAGGTGTGTGCTAAACCACATCGAACAGTTGACTCGTTAAAGAAAGCGCTCCTTAAAGCATGGGAAGAGCTTGATGATGCCTACTTGCATGCCACAGTCGACGCCTGGCGCCCACGTCTTGAAGCGTGCGGGGCCGCTGACGGAGGGATTTTTGAAATTTGAGTTTTGTTAACATCTAAATAAAGATTGCTATAAAAACTTTGTTATCTTTGGGCGACTTGTTTTTTGGTTTGTACCGACTGATTTTTCGGGGCCCATAATTATGACGCACCTTGTAGAATCGGCTATGCTGATTCTGAATATGCTTCTACTCTTTCCAAAGGAGCTCCGTTAGGTGAGATACCTGGCATCAAAGTTTAGGCTGATTTTTGGGAGTCCTTATAAGCTTTTCTCTCTTTTTTAAAAAGAGAACTAGTGGCGCAGTGGGTAGTGTGCTTGCCTCCAAAATCTTTTGCCCGGATTCGAGTTCGCTTCCGGTATACTCTTTTACTTTTTTGAAAAAATGATTAGAAAATCTGAATTGAATTCCACTATTTTCTGGAATTCAATTCTATCCCATTCCGCGTATTGAATTCCACTATTTTTGCATAAGCAGTTCGTGAAATCGTGAACAACCGAATCCTGAAGTCCAGCAACAACAAACAACATTTATGAACAAAGCATTTATGTTCCTAAATCATTTCTAAACATTTTCCCGTCAATCCAAGTCAAAATAAATGAATCCTGTTGCCATAACCATTTTCTAGGATGAATTTCAGAATGTGAAGCCAGAAAACATTGGAATGAGCAAGAAGTGCCACTTGAAACTCTTTGATTTTGGCGTTGCAAGGTCGGTTCACAAGAAATCGCTTTACTCTTTAAATTCTAGGTCAACTAACACCGATCTAACAGAACTGGTTTCTACACCTCTATATCATCCGTTAGAAGTGCAACTGTTCGAGCAATACGATTGGGGAGGTACTCTAACTTCAAAGCGTTTGAGTTGAGCTGTTTAGTTGACATTTGGGCAACCGGCTTGGTGGCACTTGAATTTCTCAATCATTCATTATACCCGGCAAATGTGAACTCGGTATGTGACTGTTCTTCTCGCTAAAGTGTTTCTAAAACGCGCTCTAAGAAAACCTACCGTAATGCAGGAGTTGTTTTGGCGGTCTTAAAAGGTGCCCTACGAAAGTCGGTCGCCCTAACGTAATTCAGTCATCTTTCTTTTGCAGCACGTACTGGTCCTGGACGTCCGTGTCCTCTTACGGGGCTAATATTAAGAGATATAGGCTCAGAGAAGGTTAAAGTATGTAAAGTAGTTGTACGTAAAAAAGCTTTGTGAAGTAAATTTCCACAATAAAAGATAAAAAGACAGCAAGCAGTGTTTGTTATGATTTTTAGCTATTAATCAATTAATTTTAGAAATTTTTTATTTAATACTTTTAAATTGTAAAGAAAAGGTAGGAAAGGTGAAGTGATTTCGAGCAAGCGCCTTCAAGAGCGCGATTTACTCGCGTTAATAAAGAATCAACTTCTACATTCATGCTACGATTACAGCTTTCACGGTAACCAGAGTACGGTAGCTTTCCCCAAAGAGCGAGTTTTAGAATCCGCTTCGGTTAAAGAACAAAATCTGGTTGCTTTGAGCAAGGTCTAACCTTTTAGAAAGACAAAATCAAACAGAGAATTCTTGACGTTCTTGGCGTGCCGGAAGACAAGTACAAAGAATTGTGGGTTCATCAAAAAATTATTAATTACTGGAAATTCCTAAAACCTACTTGAGAAATATTTTTTCAGCTTTAAACACAAGTTGAAGAATGAGGTGCAACGTGACGGTTGCTTTGACGCTTTTCTAACCACGGCTTTTGAGCGACTTGAACCCGGACGTCGGGATTTGAATGGTAAGCTACATACTTTGCATTCTAAATACTATCGAAAAACTGTTAGTTTACAATTCCAATCAAAAATGTACTGAGTTGATGGTTTCAGAAGACAATTGAGTCTTAAGCGGCTAATTTCAGAAGAGAACTTGCGGGATCTTCTCAGCAAAATGCTTTGCATCAATCCACGAAGACCGCTGGCAAGCGAGCTCCTTGAGCATGAATATTTGAAAATGCTGCAAGTAAGAACTTTTAATCATCTGAAATTTCATTTTCATTTTCATTTTAGAGTGCCATGACGAGGAAACAAATTGAGAACTCGACCAACGATCAAGTCACGGATCACGCGAAAAATCAACGCGACAAGGAAACGCTGATCAAAATCCTCAAGAATTTTTCGAGACAATTGTGAGAATGAAATAAAATAATGCTAGTGATGTCCACCTTTTCTGTATTTTTGTTTACAAATAACCAATTCACCTATTGACCTATTGCGCGAAATGAGACAAAAAATCGTTTTCGATAGGATTTTTACGTTTAAATAGCCAATTGACGTCGAAAAATGGGGGGGAGCCGAAAGTAAATTTTTTTTGAATTTTTGAAATCCCTTCGACAAATTTTTTTGAAATCGAGCTTTAGTGGTTTTACCGTGTTGAATTTCAGCCATTTTTTATTGCCGGCGCAAAATTTTGAAAACAAAAGCCTAAAACAAAAATGTAAACGGCAAGTTTTATTCTACGGATTTTTCTCTATCTTTTGATATCAAAAAGATAAAAATTGATATATTGTATATATTGCTATAGATTGCTCCATTAGAAAAGTCTAATATTTTTCTACAAAAAAGCGTTCAAATTTTATGAAAATGTTTTGTCTCTAGTTTTTTATTGGGACGCGGAGTCGGGTGGTCAAAAAAGGTGACAACCGGAAGACGCTTTGGTCCACAGAAACCTATCCTGGTGTCAATAGATAAAAGATGGAGCGTAGAAAGTTAGGTTTATAGCCGAATTTTCAGCATAACCTTAACCGTTTAAGGCTATCTGCGGAGAGACTCTAAGACGTTTTGCTTTTTGCAAAACTCTAAGACCTTTTGCTATGTCAAGTTCCATTTCAAAAAAAATAGACTTCATAAAAAGTTAATATCATTAATAAAAGGATTTATTGAGCTCATCATTGTCGGCTTTTCTGTTTTTGAACTGTCTGCCCAAAAACTTTTCCTTTTAAAACCCTTCTATATGAATTGTGTTGCAAAGTTTTTCACTATTCCAATCATTTGAGTTTGAGTGAATGGTTCTTCATCAATCAATTTCCGATAATTTCTTTACCTATTTTATCTCCATTGCCTTTTTTTACCTATTTTATCTAAACTAAGACTGCCAAACTCTTATCACAAGCCTGTAAAAGGACTAAGAAAAAGAGACTAGACAAAAACACAAAAGCTATTGGTTTTAGTCTCCTCTTTGGAATTGCTTATAAAAAAATTGGTTTAGGCTTAGGCTTGTTTGACCTAGAAAATTGAGCCTGGGAACAGCGCTGATTGAGACACATTAATATGAATTACAATTCGAATTTCAGGATGTGAAGCCAGACAACATTGGACTCAGCAAGCAATTCGATTTGAAACTTTTCGATTTTGGAGTTGCCAGGTGTCTTTTGGGAATGTGAGCCATATTTAAATCTTCAGGCCAATCAACGATATGAAAGATTTGACAGAAGGCGCTTCAACTCCCCAATATCTACCACTTGAAGTGCAATTAGTGGAACAATACGATTGGGGAGGTACTTGATTTTAAAAACTTTTAATCTCCGACTTTAGTTGACATTTGGGCAACCGGCTTGGTCGCACTTGATTTTCTCAATCATCCATTCTACCCGGCAAGTGTGGACTCGGTATGTGACTGTTTGTTGCCATGATTAGACTCCAGATACCTATGCTAATGTTTAGAAACCAAAAATCAAACAAAGGATTCTTGATGTTTTCGGAGTGCCAAGAAACAAGTATCAAGAATTGTAAGTTCTATCGTTTAAAGTGACCATTCTAAAAGGCGCTTGGGGCCACCAAATGTCAAATAACAATTAGTAGATGAAATTTCAGTTTCAAAGACAAGTTGATACATGAGAAGCCACGTGACGGTATCTTCAACGCTTTTCTGACCACAGCCTGCACACGGCTTGGACCTGCACTTCGGGATATGAATGGTAGGATCTGTGATGTTCAACTTGAGCCTAAAGCGATGTAAGTGAGGCTGGGCAAGGCTAGAAGCCAGGTCTAGCTTGCTTTGGCTCTCTGAGGCATCTAGTGGTTCTAGGGGCTTTTATAGGCAAGACCAGGGAACTCGTAAATCATTACGGTAGTGTCGAATCAAATCAGGAGTCACGTTAATTTCAATCCACTTAGTCAACTTTAGAGGTGAACTTTCAAGATCTTCTCGGCAAAATGCTTTGCATCAACCCGCGAAGAACTTTGGCAAGAGAGCTTCTGGGACATAAATACTTGAAAGCAATGAATGTAAACGATTTTCCATTAGCTTCCTATGAACGTTTTTAGGCCGAACTCTTGAAGAATCAGGGCCATAATACGCTCGACGATCACGAACTAACGCAAAATGAACGTGACAAGGAAACGCTGATCAAAACACTCAAAAATTTTTCTACGCAATTATGAGAAGGAAATAAATAGCTAAAAAGGATTCATTGGGCACAGTTCGAAAATAAAGATTTGCTTTTTAGTACTTTTTCGGACAATTAGAAGCAAGGCACTGAAAATTAACAGATAAACTTAACAAATTACAGCATTTTTGGGTTCAACTTTTGCAAATTCACTTGTGCTCGAGTTTGGTGCTCAAAAAGATACGCCAACTCATTATTTTGAGGTTAAAATGCTCCAAAAATCGGTACCATGAAGATTGAGGATTTGGAGAAAATTCAGAGATTCACGAAGAAATCGTTATATGGAAAATTGACTATTTTAAATATTCTAGCTTAATTTATAAGGATAAACTTGCTCGTTTTGAACTATTAGGTTCTTCGGATATAAACAAGCGTTGCTAAACTTTTTGTTGTGAGAGAAGCTTTTAAAACATTTCTTTCTGTATTTAAAAGTACGTTATCTTGTGCATATTTGGATACGGATAATTTCTTATTTTTAAGATCTTTTTTCTTGCTTTAGATGACCGACTTCAAACATCAAGTTCGCGTCTACTTTACTTATCAATAAGCCTACTTTACGACTTCAAACTGGGCAAAACAGCCACGGAATTCCATCGAGATTTGGTCAAAGCATTTGGGAAGGATGTATTGTTCGAAAGCCGATGCCGAAAGCCGAAAGCCGGTTCCGACGCTTTAGGAATGGTGATTAATGTCTTGAGGATGATGAACACTCTCCTCGACCTCAGGTAGACAACGATATTTTGAGGGCTGCAATCGAATCGGATCCATATCAAACGACGCGTGAACTTGCTCGACAGTTTCTATGTTCAAATTCTACTTTTGATGAGCATCTCCACTCCATTGGAAAGACGATCAGACAATCAGCTTTTTCAATTTCTGAAGTTAGTTGATCTCAATGGCTTCCTCACGCAGTGCAAACGCTCGTTTATATCCGAACAACCTAATAATTGTAATTCTTATAGCAATTGGAAGAGCTTATCTTTTCTGATTAAAAGAGTTCATAAAAATTAGCAGTTTATCCTTTCTTTCACCTTGAAAGCGTGTCCCTTTTTCTTCTGTGACTGTCACACCATACAACAACAAGATTGCAGGATCTAAAGCCAGAAAATATTGGAATAGTGCCACTTGAAACTCTTTGATTTTGGCCTTGCAAAGTCGGTTCACAAGAGAGCTGAATGTAGATACAATTATCTAATTGAGTTTCGCACTTCAAATTCAGACCATAATGAACTCGATCCCACCAAAAGAAGTGTCAAATGATTGTGATTAGATTTTTGTAAACATCCCTCTGAAATGTTTTACTCATAATTTTGCCAGTTTCATTTACAAAGCAAACCTGCATCGGTAAAAACTCCTATCAGCAAAAAATTGCACAAGAAAAACGTCGAGAAAAGAGAGAAAAGCGCATCAATTTCAGGGCATTTTCTTGCGAAATTTCAAGTTTTCAATCAATTGGACTCATTTTTGGATACAAAATCACTGGCTTTATTGAATCAATTATTAGAAAAGCATTTGGCTACAAATCTCTTTAAAAAATTCACTACAACTGTTAAAATGAGTGATTCGCCAATGGATCAATCGACGGTTTGTTACTTTTAAGTTTTCTAGAGTTGTTTATTTACTAGCTTAAAAAGAGGGTCCGAATAGGCACCGATTGTCGAAAAGGGATCGATTTAAAACCAAATTCTCGGCAACTAGGTGTATTTATATAATTTTGAAGTCTTATTTAGAAATGGCTCAAGTACATCGGTAAATCATCAAAAGCCAAAAAAGCAAAACCAAAAAACACCATTTCCGCAGGGATTTTTCTTTTGCATTGTAGATAATACAAAAAAAGCTTGAGCTGTAAATTTGTACAAAAATTATATTACTACATCCACTTGCTGGTTTTAGCGAGAATCGGTCCTAATTCGATCGATCCCTTAAGTCATTAATAAGTGGTTGTTTAGCAAGCGATTGTCAGGGTGTCATTAGTAAGGTTGTCATTAGTAAGCGGTCATTAATAGTATTAGTAAGTTGTAACTTTCAGAATTCTGAATTGTTTTTATTCTTCATCCTTTTACAGAATGCTTTACCCCGAACTGCTTCCCAGTCAGTCAAAATTGACTGTGAGAAAGATCTCCAAGGAAAAGTGAGAATTCTCGAGGCTCGAATTCCTAACGATTATCGTCCAGATTTGGTAGGATTTGTCAAAGGATTTGATTCTTAAGTTAGCATTCATATAGGTGTCTTAACCCCGTAAGCAAAGCACTTTCTATTACTCTGCAAAGTAATCAGTTGAACACTGATTACCGAATTATAAAACCTTTTACCTTTTCATTTAAGACTGACACTGACTATCGTCCGGAAGGCCTAGATGATTCGTTCTATCACAAATTGGGTGAAGGGAGTACAGGAATTGCTGTGTAAGAACTTTTTGAGGATTTTTCAGCTCCACAGAAACTTGAGTATATTTCAAATCTCTGCAAAGAGCTCCGTAGAGCTTATAGTTAGCAGCCTAAAAACTCATAACAAACAAATTTCAGAGCAGCTGTCCGCAAAGTCAAAGGCGTTTTTGGAGACATTCAGCGAGAGAAAGTCGTTTTGAAGAAGTAACTTTTACTTACTCACAGAATTTCACCCAGTTGCACTCATTTTTTAGATACAACATCACTAGCTTTCTTGCAAATCAAGTAAAAGATGGATACACTTCCATGCTTCGAGAATTCCAAAATCTTCAATATTTGATGCACGACAATGTGAGATCTAAATAGAACTTGAATACAATAATAAGTTTAGATCGCTGAAATGAAGGATTCTTTTTGGAGTCTAGATGAGAAAGGAAACTTGAATCAAGTTTGGATTGTCACGGAAAGAATGGACTTCAAGCTATCGGATTTTTTTAGGTTTCAGTGCATTACCAGTGTTGATATTCAGACAAGTCAAATTCAGACACAAAGCGAAGAACGACCATACGGCAACGCCACATCGACGTGATCATCGTCATCTTGGCTCAATTCTCGTTCAGATTTTACGAGCCCTTGACTACTTGCATCAACGCGGGATCATGCATCGCGTCGGTTTAAGCATATTTTCAATTCAATTACCTTTGAAACTCTCTTGGCAAAATTCTCTTGCTAAAATGAGACCAAACAAACAAACAGACCAAACAAAGTCGATACAAAAACTATTCATTTTTAGGTTATTCTGTTATACCATACTTAAACAACAACAAGATTTCAGGATGTAAAGCCAGACAACATTGGAATCAGCAAGCAGTGCCACTTGAAACTCTTTGATTTTGGCGTTGCAAGGTCGGTTCATAAGAAATTGCTTTACTCTTTAAATTCTAGGCCAACTAACACCGTAAAAGAGCTGACACAATTGGTTTCTACACCTCGATATCATCCGTTAGAAGTGCAACTGTTAGAGCCATACGACTGGGGAGGTACTTTAACTTCTAAGCTTCTGAGTCGAGCTGTTTAGTTGACATTTGGGCAACCGGCTTGGTGGCACTTGAGTTTCTCAATCATCCATTCTATCCGGCAAGTGTGAGCTCGGTATGTGACTGTACCTCGCTAAAGTGTTTCTAAAAGGTGCTCTAAGAAAACCTACCGTAATCCAGGAGTTGTTTTGGTGGTCTTAGAAGGTGCACTACGAAAATCTAACGTAATTCAGTCATCTTTGTTTTGCAGCACGTACTGGTCCTGGATGTCCGGGTCCTCTTACGGATCCAAGATTAAGAGATATAGGCTCAGAGAAGCTAAAAGTACGTAAAGTAGTTCTACGTAAAAAAAGCATCGTAAAGTAAATTTCCACGATAAAAGATAAAAAGGCAGCAAGCAGTGTTAATGTTTTAAAAACGCGATTTACTCGCGTCAACAAGGAATCAACTTTTACATTCATGTTACTATTACAGCTTTCACGGTAACCAGAGTACGGTAGCTTTCCCGAAAGATCGAGTTTTAGAATCCGCTTCGGTTAAAGAACAAAATCTGGTTGCTTTGAGCAAGATCTAACCTTTTAGACAGACAAAATCAAACAGAGAATTCTTGACGTTTTTGGTGTGCCGGGAGACAAGTACAAAGAGTTGTGGGTTCATCAAGAAATTATTAATTACTAGAAATTCCTAAAACCTACTTGAGAAATATTTTTTCAGTTTTAAATACAAGTTGATGAATGAGGTGCAACGTGACGGTTGCTTCAATGCTTTTCTGACCACGGCTTTTAAGCGACTGGCACCCGGATTTCGGGATTTTAATGGTAAGATACATCCTTTGCATTCTAAACTATCGAAAAACTGTTAGTTTACAATTTATCCACTCAAAAATCTATTGAGTTGATGGTTTCAGAAGACAATTTGCGGGATCTTCTCAGCCAAATGCTCTGCATCAACCCGCGAAGACCCCTGGCAAGCGTGCTTCTCGATCATAACTATTTGAGAGCAGTGAATGTAAGAGTTGATTCCCTATTAGTTTCTAGATTTTGTTTTAGAGTGACATGACGAGGAAACACGTTCAAATCCCGGCCCACGAACATCACGCGAAAAATCAACGCGACAAGGAAACGTTGCTGAAAATGCTCAAGAACTTTTCTAGGCAATTGTGAGAATGGAATAAATGATGCTAATATTTTACACATATCTAGTGTCATTCTAACTTTCTATGTATCTAAATCTAACTACTACGACGTGTGGATTTGAATCAGACCGATATTGAGTACGGCAAAAGCAAACTGGTATTGCTTAGATGGAGACCTGCAGTTCGTTACCGCCCGTTACCCAGCAGTCATAATTTGGCAAAAGAAAAATGACTCACAACAAATTGATTTATGCCTTGCTGGAAAATTCTAATAGTTCTTGTTGCAAACAGTGCGCAACTTTTGTGACTATCCTATTGGCAACATATTTTATTCTGTAATATGCTCGTTCCAACGAAAGATCAAGCCGCGGTTTGTCTTTTTTACAGTTTTTCTTTTTACAGTGAAGCCGGCAAAACATCGAAATTAACACTGATAGTCACTTGAAAATATGTGACTTTGGTGTTGCTAGATGGGTAGATTTTCAGTGTAAACGCTTTCAGTTGCCAGAATTGTATTGCTGGCTACTGCTAGGAAAAGATGACCGCTTCAGGTCGATCAACACAATCGACAATAGGACACACATGGCTTCAACTCCTTTATTTCAGCCGCTGGAAGTGCAATTAGGGCAACAATACGATCGCGGAGGTACGCTTGACTGCTAGCACTGAAATTTGAAAGCTCAATTACTGTAGTTGACATTTGGTCAACGGGTTTGGTAGTAAGAGATTACAAGACGATAAAGACACGTTACGTTTTAGAGAACACACTATTGAAGCATATGAAACCAAGTCTAAAGTTGCCTCAATCGAGCGTTTCAGTTTCGGGGACAGGTTGAAAGCAGAGCAATTGCGTGAATCAACTTTTGAGGCTTTTTTGGATGAGGGCTTGAAGAGGGTTGGACCTAGTGTTAAAGATTTGAATGGTAGGCGATTTATAACATAGCAGATGCAACTTTTATTGGGCTATTATGATATTAGTGAATGAACCACTAAAGAGGTTACGGTTGTTTTTGAAAGTTGATGCTTTTTAGATGTTAAGTTACAAGATTACGAGACGGTAAAGATAAGTTTAAGTTTTAGAGAACACACTATTGAAGCATATTCTACTAAAGATTCTTATTTCTTTAACAGAATTCAATCAGTACTCGTTACAGAAAAGAACCTAAAGGACCTACTCACTCGTTTGTTGACAATCAATCCCCGACGACCGTTGGCCAACGACCTTCTCCGCCACGCCTATTTAAAAGAAATAAATGTAAGCCTTTATTAAACTCTATTTACAACTAGCTTTTCAGGCAGCTATCTTAAGAAAGTATCCATCGATCTCAGCCAACGACCATGTGGCAAAGAACGAACGTGACAAGAAAATCTTGCTCAACGTGCTTAAAAACTTTTCTAACCAGGTGTAGGGAACGGAATGAATAAATGAGATCGTAAAAAATATTACAGACCAATGCAATAGCTGGTCTTCTTGATATGCTAAATAGAACCAGATCTGTCTTGTTACATTCTGTACGGTACATTACGGTTTCTCGATCAATGAGTAAACCTTTTGTGAGCACAATTCAGTTATTTCTTCTATCAAATTCCTAAAAACTGTTGCTTTTCGTCATTACACTGCAGACGTAAGTATTTTTGTCCTCCTTCAATACCGTCCTTGATAAGAGTCTTTCAAAGAGAGTCTTGTCAACTTTGGCATTTGAATTTTCTCTAAACAAAATGTTCAAATGTGACTTTTCTTTTCTTCTTGTACTCGTAAAGCTTACCAATGTAGTAAGACAACAGTAGAGCTTTGTTTAAATAATCATTTTCTTTTACAAATGTAAATTTGTTAAATAAAAAACCATAGCCTCAGTCATCTTAACAAATGAAGAATAGAATTAGAATTTCAAAACGAAATTTTACGATATCTAGTAAATCAGTCAAGTTTCTTATCAACAAGATTCAATAAATTTGACAAGAAAACGCGGAAAATCAATTTGTGACTGTTCCTTTTTCTTGCGTCATCTTTTGGAGGTATTTCGAAAATGTTTTTGCAAAGTTTTTACGTTTAAGAATAGTTTATTAGCTAAAAGCTGTGCAAAGATAAGAATATAGAGAAGATAATCATTAAAGATATACTGTAATGGTTCACACAATTTGTTATTGGTGTCAGTGTTGTTGGAATTGGAATGGGCGTTGAATGTGAGTTTAAAAGATTTGAGTTGACAACATGAATGCGAAGAAAGCTGTCATCCGGCCAATCATCGTCGTCAGTGCTATTCATTGAAATCTGAAGGGAAATTTGAAATCAAAGTCACGAATCAAAGTCAAACTATAAAGGAACTTTAAAGGAACCAAATAGGAACTATAAAGGAACTACCAAGGAACTTTAAAGGAACTATAAAGGAACTTTAAAGGAACTATAATGAACTTTAAAGGAACCAAATAGAAACTATAAAGGAACTATAAAGGAACTATAAAGGAACTATAAAGGAACTATAAAGGAACTTTAAAGGAACTATAAAGGAACTTTAAAGGAACTTTAAAGGAACCAAATAGGAACTATAAAGGAACTTTAAAGGAACCAATGTTACTTTAAAGCAAAGTTACTTTAAAGTAAATTGTACTAAAAAGTTATCAGGTTTTCTACAGCCTCCAATCGAATCTTACGCTTTGTATCTGCTCAATCTGATCAAGTCTGCTGTGAAGAAAGGTTGGATTTGACTCTGGTGGAGCTTTGGCTTTGATTCTTGAGCTCTGATTAGATGAAATAGTTTTACCTACTCTAATTAAACTCAATGTACTTTTAGAATTTGGTAAATTTGAGCAAGAATCGAAAATAGAAAGCTTAAACTTCAAATTCCTCTCATTTTGCCTTTGACAACTTACAAAAATACTCGTCACTTCTTTCACTGAATAATTTCCCGATTTATACAAATCTTCCATAAAAATCAATCTAAAAAAAGCTTAGTTAGTAAAAAATCTAATCTCTACGTTTCATTGCTCCGCGTTTTGTTGAAATAATCTCGAAATTCAACCGTAACCACTCCAGACTCAACTTCGATCACTTCAATAATCACATTGATTAGAAATCGATCTAAAGAAATGATTTCAAAGTAAAGGATTGATCATTTACAGCAATAAAAGTTGTACATAATGAAATCTAAAACAATCTCGTCTTTCGTTTCTTTGTGATAGTATGGAGTGATGATTAATGCAGTTCCCGCACACAATTCTTGTTCAGGAATTCTTTTGCCGAACTCTATCGCTGAAAACGAAGCTTTAGCAACTTTTAAAAGCCTTAGAAAGGTTTTAAATTTAATTTCTAAATTTAATTTCTATTATAGTTCCAGAAAAACTCACGCTCTGAGCTCATCACAATTGTTGGAGAGCAATTCGGTGGAATGAGCAACGAGTACATTCTTGAGAGCAAAAACTGTGGAAAAAATAAATCTTGATCTCTAAAAGGGTCAGAGTCTAATTAAATAAAACAATTTTAACCTAAAAATCGCCAATTCTCGACTTAGATCTTTCACTTTTCCCGGTGGAGAACCTTCAATAAGCAAATATTCACAATCTTTATCGTGATGATCCTGAAATCTTAGATCTAACAATCTAGAAATCAGCTCTAACTAACTAAAAGCTCAGTCTGAATCTTAGATAATATTGGTTGAGGTTAAAAACTTACCCATCGAACTTTCCGCAAGTATTTGATCCAATCAGCTTCACCAACGGATAATAAAAGCCAAATTGGATAGTCAAATCTATCAAATTTCATTCGAATGTTTCCCACTTTGTCATCACGACTCATTGTAATCAATTTGAAGTCAACAGAATCTAGAAAGTTTGCAGCTTTTGAAATTGGGTATAACTGGGTATGTGCTTTAGAACGTCACTGACCTTCCATCCATTTAAAGGCTCTGAATGAAATGGAGCTTCTTGTGTAATCAACTCCATCGATCAAATTTATTATGATCTGACCACTGAGTTCATAATAACACTCATAAGAAGTCAGATTCATCAAAGAATCGAAACTAAAAAGGGGATAGCAAAGGATGACTGGGTTTTTAGAGTTTATGCATGCACACATTGACAAAATCAGGTCGTAAATAGTAGACCTGGTTATCGAATTGAATCGAATCGGTCCAAATTTGAGTTGAATCAATTCAAAATCGAATCGAATCGGTCCGAATTCTATTGGATTCGAAAATTTTCCATTTTCAGTCTGAACCGATTCGATTCGAACCGAAAAATTGTAATTTTTGACCGACTCGAACTAGTCCGATTCGAACTGACTCGATTCGATTGACATTTTCCTGCTTACGGTAGTCTTTTAGCAAGAAGTTAGCAAATTTTACATTTTATTTAGATCATTTTTGCATTTGCTTCACCTCTATTTTGTGCCCTTTCGCTTTTTTGGCACGAGTTGAACCTTAAAAGCGTTCAACTACAGTAACTCGTTGTCGTTCGCGTATATATGGCCCTTTCTTTAGCGGCTTGGACCGATTCGATTCGATTCGAAGACGATTTTGTTAAGTTATCGCATGCGTTATTTGAGGTTGAGTTAAGGCAAGAACCATTCAGTGATTCAGTGCACTAGAAATGATGCTCTGAAGTTTGAATTTAAAATAACAACAACTATTTTTGAGTTAGAACAATTTTCTAATATGGGCAATTGGAAGAATTAGATCAATTTTACATTAGTTTGATTGGGAAAATTTTTGGACTTCCGGTCTGAACCGATTCGATTTTACTCGAAAAAAACCACACCGAAAACCAGGTCTACAGTTAGATAATTTTTAATCATTGGAGTAAGTAATGTCTCAGAAAGCCGGTAAGTCAGGGTCAGAAGATCAAGTCAATTTGTCTGATCTGGCTTGGTTTTAATCAGGAGTTTGGAACATCTTTAGCAAGAGCTCCAAGGACTGTCAGTGTCAGCAAGAATGTTAGCAGGAATTCCAATGAATGTCAATAAGGCTCACGTTTTCTCACAACGCGACAGGGTAATATTCGTTCCATTGATCATAAACGGTGCTATTTCACAACTCGAATTCTAGATTGTTTTTTGATTTGCAACAAAAGCACATACTTTCTCATTTGTACAATAGCTGATGACATTAATCAGAACATCACAACTAAAGCAGTCCTTTACGCTAAGACAAATGGGCTCCTCTAAATGAAGTTGTTGAAAATTGACTAATTGTATAAAAACAAACCATCTCGTAGATACAACTTGTGTAGATATGACCCAAAAAAAGCCATTGTTGGTTCGGCCTCGGTCAGTTCGTAGATGTGACTTTTACATGTGAATACGTAGAATCGATTCCATTCCGTTCGCATCAAATAGCCTGTACGCTGCCTTGAGATGTTATATGGACACCAGAGAATCTATAAAGCAACAGTAATTCCAAAATACCGTATTCTCTCCCGTAGTAGTGCACCATGAGCGACGCCTAAATTGCTCGAAATCTCGAAAAGCGCTTATCAGAGTCTATCGATGTGGGGTCGGAAAATGTAGCTGACGATGAGATCTTGTGGGGAATTAGAGCATTGAGCTTCTGCAAAAGCTTGGAAACCATAAAATAGTCATCAACTCGGCACTACCCTTAGAGAGAATACGGTATGCATATCAATCATTATTCAACATTCTAAGAGTTATTCTAAATCTCTCTAAGAATAGAGCCGCAAGTACAGAAGTATATAGTTATCCCGCCGTACTCTTGTAGCCTAAACTTTAGCAGGGTTAGTATAACTATGCTGGATACTACTGGATACTAAGACGACATACTGTAGACTCAATCAAAGTTATAGTACTCGTTATTTTCGGATTGGATTCCGCCTATGATCGATTGGAGCCGGCCTATGATTGATTGGAGCCCGCCTATGATCGATTGGATCCCGCCTATCATCCTCTTCTTACCTCAAGACACTGCAGATTGGTGTTAACGATTTGTGGTTGTTCCACCCTAAAGCTGACTCAAATTTCGTTGAGCCATTTATGCAAACCTCGTAAAATTCTTTTTCTTTTTGAAATCGCATGTCGCACTTCTAGCCGAGAGGTTCTCATATCCAGTAATGTTCAATGCTCCATTCTCTATCCTTTCAACGTTTAAGGTCAAGATTGTGTGTTTATTTGTCTAAAGATGGTTATTTTAACGTCTAAACACGGCTAAGCACGTGTAAAAACGTCTATTTTATTTTCGCATATTTCTACATACCAATTTGTTTTCTATATTGATTTTCAAACAGCTATTTGCGTATTTAGCGTTATCAGCGAAGATCCATGGGTATTCATAGCTCGTATAAGTATGCTGATCTTCTTCATAGTATGAATAATAAGCTGAATGATTTTTAAATCCACTGAACTTTTTACAAAGTTTACTTGTAGTGACATTATTAGCAGCATGTATCAAACAGTAGCTGCAACTCTCATTAACCATCACAGTGACTACCGAAGAGTGGACCGGGATCACGGTTGCGTCCGCAAAACTGAAATTTATGTTATGTACATTTTTCAAATCTATCTTTTTGCTATTTTTTTTGCTATTTTTAAACCCACTGTTTGCAAGCGATTGTCGTTGTTCTCTTATCAAAACGGTTAAGTCTAAAAATAGCTTAACCTGGTCTGCTCGAGGAAATTCTTGGACAAATTCACAAGAGGTCTGCTCACGCCATAATAAACAAAAACTTCAACATGATCTCCACAAGTGACGTAATCCTGAAAGAATAGAAGCACTGATAGCTTTTCAAAGTTCGAAATCCAAAGCTCCAAATCACTTGCTTGTAGACTTTCACAGTAGAGGTTGACTAGTCTCTTGACATTTGTAGGACCAGCAACAATCTGGAGAAATGGGCCACCATTCTTTCTAGATCATTTATTAATTGATTTGCAAATTTGCTAACTCTATAGCGTCTGGATGAGCGACAAGTACAGCAGCGTAATCAGCGTTGATCAAGGCAATGTTTGGTTTTTGACAATCTCGTTCACCGGGAAGAACGATTAGGCTACGGGTAGCTGAAAGTTCGATTAGCACATCAAGAGGTCAACCTCAATGGTTAGCCAAATCAGGTCAGATTTTATCACATCACCATCAGGTTATCGGACATCTGATAAGCCCCGCCCCTTTTGCCATTGGCAATCTAACTTTGAGCTCAAATATCTTGGTATAGGGCTATCCAATTTAAATATTTTTAATACCATTCGATGCGCCAAGTCTTTCTCTGTCGATTGGTACTAAAAACCATTTAAATTGGACAGCCCAACATTAGGAATTTTGAGCTCAAAGTTGGATTGCCAATGGCCGAGGGTAGTACTTAGGTAGTACTTGACCAAGTAATACTTGCTTAGCTCTCATGCAGTACCCGGCTAGGCAGTAGTACCTGTTTCGGCCAGGTACAGTACCCGGCAATTAGGGCTTAGCAATCTCTTCAACTAAGCTCGACTCAAAAACTACCATCAACCCATTCCTTTACTCGAATCGCTACAGCATATTCAATTTTCAGCACAGAAGTTTGAGGTCTAATAATCAATCGTTGAATCTCTTCAATAACAAACAAGTGAACAACTGTACAAATATTTGGTGGGATCAGAAGTGTATGGACTGAAGTTTTTCTTGACGAGGAATTGCTTAGCTCCTTACATCATATCATCACATCGATCTCTTTCCAAAATGTAGCCATTAACAGAGAATGGAATCGGATCAGCGCAAGGAATGTCTTGATCAAAACTTTCGTTTTCGCAGTCTCTTTGCGTGAAATCAAGAACGAAAGTGCAGGATTGGCAGTTGTGAATCAAAACGAGACTCTAGATTTCTTGTACTCGAAAGTTATGGTAAAAGAAAGGGTTTGAGATTTTGAAATCAAAGACAACCTCCAAGTCTCTCAAGTTTCCTCCATGAATAGCATATCCTGGATCACTTTCTGTTAGCTTTAATAACCGATGTTCTCCTTGACACAAAATAATCAAAGAAAGAAAATAAAGAAAAGAAATATCACACTTGAACATTTTGTTTAAAGGAAATTCAAATGCCAAAGTTGACAAGACTCTCTTTGAAAGACTCTTATCAAGGGCGGTATTTAAGGAGGACAAAAATACTTACACTGTTTCTTGGTTTTGGCTTAGCCCGTGAGTTTTGGCTTTTCGGAAAAACCCGGGGTTTTTGGATTCAGAAAATGGAAGTTTAACAACAAAGCCTAAATGCTATCACACGTAACCAACTCGATGCATGATTCCCCGTTGATGCAAATAGGCAAGTGCTTGTAAAATCTGGACAAGCATCGATGCGAGATGGCGATGATCACGTGGCTCTGCCGTTGGCGTATCGTCTTTTTTCGCTGCAGTTCTGAATTTCATCCAGAAACCCGTTAAGGATGGCTCAGATGACCTACAAGCCTGAAAAAATCCGATAGCTTGAAGTCCATTCTCTCCGTGACAATCCACACATGATTTAAGGTTTCTTTCTCGCTAAAACTCCAAAAAGAATCCTTTATTGTAGCAATCTAAACGGCCACTTACTTCTAGATCAGATTTGATTTAGGTCTCACATGGTCATGCATCAAATATTGAAGATTTTGGAACTCTCGAAGGATTGCTTTATAGTCTTGATTGACTTGTGCACTCGGTCCGGTCCCCGGCCGGTTTTCGGTCTCGGTCCGGTCTCAGTCCGGACTGAACCGAGATCGGACCAACTGATACGGACCAAGTGCACATTTCTACTATGTACTAATGTACTACGTTAAACAAGAATATCATCACCAAAAGTTAGACTCAAAGAAACTTTTCAACAAATTGCCCCTAAACCACAAATCCCTAAATTGCCCCTTGTTCCTATTTTGGATGGACGCTGATTATCGGCCAAAACATTTGGATACCACGATCTGTCACAAGCACTGTTTGCAAAAATAATTAGAATTTCCCAGAAAAGGCATATATCAATTTCGGCCGAGTTTCGGGGCCCCAAAGTGCGCGCCCATCCAATGTGGCTTCGAAGAAAAAAAAGTGCCCCCAACAGGCGTAGTTCGGGAGGATCGTATCTAAGAGTTCCTTTTCGTTCGGTCTCGGGTCGATTCGGATTGGTTGCGATTTTGTTAGTGAAGCGGTTTTTTGCACAAAATTATCAGTTTGCTAGGGTTTTACTTTAAATCTTCTTTTTATAGTCTAAAAAATAGAGCACTGTTTGCAATAAGAACTATTAGAATTTCTCAGAAAAGGCAGAAATCAATTTGTTGTGAGTCATTTTTCTTTTGCCATTTTATCGCTGTTTGGTAACGGGCGATAACGAACTGGAGGTCTCTATCTAAGCAATACCAGTTTGCCTTTGATGTATTCAATATCGGACTGATTCAAATCCACACGTCGTAGGAGTTAGATTTAGATACACCGTTAGAATGACACTAGATCTATGTAAAATATTGGCATCCATTTATTCCATTCTCACAATTGCCTAGAAAAGTTCTTGAGCATTTTCATCAGCGTTTCCTTGTCGCGTTGATTTTTCGCGTGATGATCGTTGGCCGAGATTTGAACGTGTTTCCTCGTCATGTCACTCTAAAACAAAATCTAGAAACTAATAGGGAATCAACTCTTACATTCACTGCTCTCAAATAGTTATGCTCGAGAAGCACGCTTGCCAGGGGTCTTCGCGGGTTGATGCAGAGCATTTGGCTGAGAAGATCCCGCAAATTTTCCTCTGAAACCATCAACTCAGTACATTTTTGATTGGATAAATTGTAAACTAACAGTTTTTCGATAGGATTTAACTTTTATACAAACTATATACCTTACCATTTAAATCCCGAGGTCCGGGTGCAAGTCGCTTAAAAGCCGTGGTCAGAAAAGCATTGAAGCAACTGTCACGTTGCACCTCATTCATCAACTTGTATTTAAAACTGAAAAAATATTTCTCAAGTAGGTTCTAGGAATTTCTAGTAATTAATAATTTCTTGATGAACCCACAATTCTTTGTACTTGTCCCCCGGCACACCAAAAACGTCAAGAATTCTCTGTTTGATTTTGTCTGTCTAAAAGGTTAGATGTTGCTCAAAGCAACCGGATTTTGTTCTTTAGCCGAACCGGATTCTAAAACTCGCTCTTTGGGAAAAGCTACCGTACTCCGGTTACCGCAAAAGCTGTAATAGTAGCATGAATGGAAAAGTTGGTTCCTTGTTAACGCGAGTAAATCGCGCTCTTGAAGTCGCTTGCTCGAAATCATTTCACCTTTTCCAGCTTTTCTCCACAATTTAAAGGTGTTCAACAAAAAATTTCTAAAATTAATCGGCTAATAGCTAACAATCATTTTCGCAACTCATTGCACCGTTTATTCATACTTCTCTACCTAGATTTTCGCATTTTTAAATCATTAAATCAATAACACCGCTTGCTGTCTTTTTTTTTGTGAAAATTTTATTGTGGAACCTTTCAATGCTTTTTTACGTACAACTACTCTACGTACTTTAACCTTCTCTGAGCCTATATCTCTTAATCTTGAATGCGTAAGAGGACCCGGACATCTAGTACCAGTACGTGCTGCAAAACAAAGATGACTGAATTACGGTAGGTTTTCGTAGTGCACTTTTTAAGCCCGCCAAATCAACTCCTGGATTACGGTAGGTTTTCTTAGAGCACCTTTTAGAAACACTTTAGCGAGAAGAATAGTCACAAACCGAGTTCACACTTGCCGGATAGAATGGATGATTGAGAAATTCAAGTGCCACCAAGCCGGTTGCCCAAATGTCAACTAAACAGCTCGACTCAGAAGCTTTGAAGTTAAATTACCTCCCCAATCGTATGGCTCTAACAGTTGCACTTCTAACGGATGATATAGAGGTGTAGAAACCAATTGTGTCAGCTCTTTTACGGTGTTAGTTGGCCTAGAATTCAAAGAGTAAAGCAATTTCTTGTGGACCGACCTTGCAACGCCAAAATCAAAGAGTTTCAAGTGGCACTGCTTGCTGATTCCAATGTTGTCTGGCTTTACATCCTGAAATCTTGTTGTTGTTTAAGTATGGTATAACAGAATAACCTAAAAATGAAGTTTTTGTATCGACTTTGTTTGGTCTGTTTGTTTGTTTGGTCTCATTTTAGCAAGAGAATTTTGCCAAGAGAGTTTCAAAGGTAATTGAATTGAAAATATGCTTAAACCGACGCGATGCATGATCCCGCGTTGATGCAAGTAATCGAGGGGTCGCAAAATCTGAACGAGAATTGAGCCAAGATGACGATGATCACGTGGCTCTGGCGTTGCCGTATTGTCTTTCTTCGCTTTTTGTCTGAATTTGACTTGCACTTGATATCAACACTAGTAAATCTATCAAACCTGAAAAAATCCGATAACCTGAAGTCGATTCTTTCCGTGACAATCCAAACTTGATTCAAATTTCCTTTCTCATCTAGACTCCAAAAAGAATCCTTCATTTCAGCGATCTAAACTTATTATTGTATTTAAGTTCTATTTAGATCTCACATTGTCATGCATCAAATATTGAAGATTTTGGAATTCTCGAAGCATGGAAGTGTATCCATCTTTTACTTGATTTGCAAGAAAGCTAGTGATGTTGTATCTAAAAAATGAGTGCAACTGGGTGAAATTCTGTGAGTAAGTAAAAGTTACTTCTTCAAAACCACTTTCTCTCTCTGAATTTCCCCAAAAACGCCTTTGACTTTGCGGACAGCTGCTCTGGAATTTGTTTGTTATGAGTTTTTAGCTTGCTAACTATAAGCTCTACGTTTTTCTACAGAAATAGATCTATACTCAAGTTTCTGTGGGGTGAAAAATGCTCAAAAAGTTCTTACACAGCAATTCCTGTGGTCCCTTCACCCAATTTGTGATAGATCGAATCATCTAGGGCTTCGGGGCGATGGCTTGTGTCATTCTTAATAAAGAAAAAGGTCAAATAAAAAGGTAAAAGGTATAATTCGGTAATCAGTGTTCAACTGATTACTTTACAGAGCAATAGAAAGTGCTTTACTTACTAGGTTAAGACACCAATATGTATGCTAACTTAAGAATCAAATCCTTTGACAAATCCTACCAAATCTGGACGATAATCGTTAGGAATTCGAGCCGCGAGAATTCTCACTTTTCCTTGGACATCTTTCTCGCAGTCAATTATGACTGACTGGGAAGCAGTTCGGGGTAAAGCATTCTGTAAAAGAATGAAGAATAAAGGCTTAATTCAGAAATCTGAAAGTTACGACTTACTAATACTACTAATGACCGCTTACTAATGACACCCTGACAACCGCTTACTAAACAACCGCTTATTAATGACTTAAGGGAGCGATCGAATTAGGGCCGATTCTCGCTAAAACCTGCAAGTAGATGTAGTAATATAATTTTTGTACATATTTACAGCTCAAGCTTTTTTTTGTATTATCGACAATGCAAAAGAAAAATCCCCGGGGAAATGGTGTTTTTTGGGCAGCCAAAAAATGATTTACCGATTTACTTTAGCCACTTCTAAATAAGAATTCAAAAATATATAACTACACCTAATCGCCGACAATTAGGTTTTAAATCGATCCCTTTTCGACATTCGCTGCCTATTCGGACCCTCTCTTTAGGCTAGTAAATAAACAACTCGAGAAAACTTAAAAGTAACAAACCGTCGATTGATCCATTGGCGAATCACTCAATTTGACGGTTGAAGTGAGTTTTTTAAAGAGATTTGTCGCCAAATGCTTTTCTAATACTTGATTTGCAATAAAGCCAGTGATTTTGTATCCAAAAATGAGTCCAACTGATTGAAAACTTGAAATTTCGCAAGAGAATGCCGTTAAATTGATGCGCTTTCCTCCCTTTTCTCGACGTTTTCCTTAAGCCATTTTTTTGCTGATAGAAGTTTTTTGCCGATACAGGTTTCCTTGTAAATAAAACTGCCAAAATGATGAATGAAATTTTTTACAGGGATGTATACACAAATCTAATCACAATCATTTGACACTTCTTTTGGTGGGATCGAGTTCATTGTGGTCTGAATTTGAAGTGCGAAACTCAATTAGATAATTGTATCTACATTCAGCTCTCTTGTGAACCGACTTTGCAAGGCCAAAATCAAAGAGTTTCAAGTGGCACTATTCCAATATTGTCTGGCTTTACATCCTGAATTCTTTTTGTTGTTTAAGTATGGTGTGACAGGATAAATTGGAACTAAACTGTTTTTGTATCGACTTTGTTCTTTCAGGCTCATTTTACCAAGAGAATATCTAGCCTTTTTAGAGGATCAAACTCCATAAACATATTGTGTTTTCAAAAGTAATTAAATTGAAAATATGCTTAAACCGACGCGATGCATGATCCCGCGTTGATGCAAGTAGTCGAGGGGTCGCAAAATCTGAATGAGAATTGAACCAAGATGACGATGATTACGTGGCCCTGGCGTTGCCGTATTGTCTTTCTTCGCTTTCTTTCTGAATTTGACTTGTACTTGAAATCAACACCAGTAAAGCTCTCAAACCTAAAAAAATCCGATAGCTTGAAGTCGATTCTTTCCGTGACAATCCAAACTTGATTCGAGTTTCCTTTCTCATCTAGACTCCTTTCTCATCTAGACTCCAAAAGAATCCTTCATTTCAGCGATCTAACCTTAAACACAAGTAAAGGCTCATAATTGGAACGGTGGTGACTCTTCAAAATGGTACACGAGCACGACTTCCGGGCTGGTTTGTCGAGTTTTGGCAAGTCGAGTCAAATTGATCAATCCGCCTCCCTACTCACCGGATATCAATGTTATCGAGCATCTCTGGTCATTTGTGAAGTCAAGGGAAAGAAATTCGATTCGAAGGCTGCCTTATGGGTTCACATTCAATGTCTCTGGGTCACCATCCCCCAAAGTCTTTTGAAGAATCTCGTGGATTCCATGCCGAATCGACTCAATGAAGTAATAAAAGCAAAAGGAGGACCAACCAAGTATTGATTTAAAAAAATTGTGTTAATTCTTTGCAAATGGGGCATTACTTTTGTGGAGCTAATTTTCAAGTAGCTTGTTGTTTTTGTTTTATACTTTAATTTGTATGTAATGTATACGGATAAATCTTATATTCTTGAAAAGTCGAGTCTTATGGGTCGGTAAAAATACCCTACTCTTTTTCTGAAATGTCGATTTTGCAAGATTTCCTTACAAAACATATTATTGGATGGCAATGGGGCATTACTTTTGTGGACTAACAATCATTTTCGCAACCTTTTATCTTTTATCTTGGAAATTTACTTTACAATGTTTTTTTTTACGTACTTTAACCTTCTCTTAGTCTATATCTCTTAATATTGGACCCGTATGAGGACCCAGACATCTAGGACCAGTACATGCTGCAAAGCAAAGATAACTGAATTACGGTAGGTTTTCTTAGAGCACCTTTTAGAAACGCTTTAGCGAGAAAAATAGTCACAAACCGAGTTTACAACGTTTGCTGGATTGAAGGATGATTGAGGAAATCAAGTGCCACCAAGGCAGCAATAAAATATGGCTGAAATTTAACACGGTAAAATCACTAAAACTCGTTTTTTTAAGAATTTATCGAAGATATTTCAAAAATTCTTTTATTTTGAGCTTCAGCACATTTTTCGGGGTAGTCAAAACAGCGCCATAATAGAAAACGTTCAAAACAGCGCCGTCAAATTTCTCAAAATCCAAAAAACCAAGCCGGTTCAAGTTTTATATTAAAAAAACTCCTTGCGTTCTTGGCTACATGATGGGTGTAAAGATATTCAGTTAATCAACTGAGTATCACTCGACACACATTTTGAGTGCTCTTTTTATCTATGAAATATTAACTTTTTTAAAAAACTGTTTCACCCATCATGTAGCCAAGAACGCAAGGAATTTTTTGATATAAAACTTGAACCGGCTTGGTTTTTTGGATTTTGAGAAATTTGACGGCGCTGTTTTGAACGTTTTCTATTATGGCGCTGTTTTGACTACCCCCCCCATTTTTCGACGTCAATTGGCTATTCAAACGTAAAAATCCTATTTTGATTTTTTGCCTTATTTCGCGTGATAGGTCAAGCGGTGAATTGGTTATTTTCAAACAAAAATACAAAAAAAGGTGGACAACACTAGCATTATTTTATTTCATTCTCACAATTGTCTCGAAAAATTCTTGAGCATTTTGATCAGCGTTTCCTTGTCGCGTTGATCTTTCGCGTGATGATCGTTGCCCGAGATTTGAACGTGTTTCCTCGTCATGTCACTCTAAAACAAAATCTAGAAACTAATAGCCAATCAACTTTTACTTTCATTGCTTTCAAATACTCATGATCGAGAAGCTCGCTTGCCAGCGGTCTACGTGGATTGATGCAGAGCATTTTGCTGAGAAGATCCCGCAAATTTTCTTCTGAAATTAGCCGCTTAAGACACAATTGTGCAATTGATAGGTAAAAGAGTGTGTTCCTCGGGCTTAAACAATTAACCGAATAAATTTGCATAAGTTTTTTTAGTCGATTAATGATTGGTTAATGGCGGCTTAGCTCTATTAACGGTTAAAAATTTGTCTCCATCTTTAAATTTGTGAAACCATCGATTACAGAGGGAGTCATGACCCTATACTTTTGTTGAGTTGGGTAGAGCTGTGATCTAGAGCTGTGATCTAGAGCTGTGATCTAGAGCTGTGATCTAGAGCTGTGATCTAGAGCTGTGATCTAGAGCTGTGATCTAGAGCTGTGATCTAGAGCTGTGATCTAGAGCTGTGATCTAGAGCTGTGATCTAGAGCTAGACTTGAAGTTGAGCCTTTATCGAATTCATATAGCCTAACATGATGAATATGTCTCTTTAGCAAATTTGCACTGATTGGCAAAAGAAGTAGTAAGTAAAAGAAATGAAAAAATTACCGAAGTTAATTGCTTTTTAAGAAAAGAAGAAAGAAACATGATTGCTAAAAAGGAAAAGCCAAAAGAAATCGAACTAAAAAGGAAAAGCTAAAAGAAATCGAACGTTTAAGGCAAGATTTGGCCCAAATTTGGGGCAAATTAGCCATCCCCATCAATTTGAACAAAGCTTTTCGAAGAAAAATCTGCATTTGAAAGTTTAAATGTAAAATTTACGTCGCGTCTATGGTGGCTTTTTTTGAGTGCGCGTTTTAAGAAACGCATTAACCGAGAGGAACACATTCTAGGTAAAACCCGAACAAAATGGTCCTACCATTCAAATCCCGAAACGCTGAATCGAGTCGTTTAAATGCTTCGGTCAGAAAAGTGTGAAAAACCCCGTCTCGTGACCTCTCGATTAGAAGCTTGTTTTTGAAACTAAAGAAGCAGGAAATCTGTATCTTGTTGAGAGCCAATGGTAGATAAAACCTACAATTCCTTGTACTTATCACCCGGTAACCCAAAAACATCCAGAATCCTTTGCTTGATTTTCTCTTTCTAAATGAGATGAAAAGATTGTTTAAAAAATGAAAAACTTTAGATACTCCAAGAAAAGCTACCGTAAACTGGTTACTTTTGGAAAGCAATTAAGTTGGTCAAAGCTACCCAAAGCTACCGTATTTTGACCAAATTAATTGCTTTCCAAAAGTAACCAGTTTACGGTAGCTTTTCTGAAGTGCGCTTTATAGAAAACGAAGTACATTTACCGAGTTCACTGTCGGCGGATAGAGTGGACAATTGAGAAACTCGAGTACAAGCAAGCCCGTCGACCAAATGTCAACTAAAGTTGTTGAGTATTGAATTATTAAGTATACAGGGTGCGGCAAAAGTTTGGAGCCGCTTCTTAAGATAGTTAAAGGTTTAAAAACTAGCTTTAAAAAGTTAAAAATTAATAACAAATTCTTTATTCGAATCATAACAACAAATAACTTATAACAAACGCCCGAAATTTCCACCATCCGCTTCGATACACCTCTTTAAACGCTTTGGGAAGTTCCTCACGATGGTGGCGCACGCTTAAACAGTTATTTCATCCCAGACTCGTTTCAGAGCAGATTTTAAAGCATCCACTGTTTGATACGTCTTCATCGAGATCTTGCCTTCCAAAATAGCCCAAACGGAGTAATCGAGGGGATTAAGATCTAGCGAATTTGAAGGCCAAATGGTCTTATCCCAAAAGCCTGGAAACAACTGAGCGCAAATGTTGAGAGTTGAGTGAGCAGTATGCTCAGGAGCCCAGTCCTGTTGCAGGGAAAAGCCAGCTTGTCCAAAGTGATTTGTTGCTCAATGTTTCAAGACATCTTTTAATACCAGTTGTTGACAGTTTTTAGCATTCATCTTGACGTTTCTGTCCAAAAAACAGGCGGTGTCTTACTTGTAGCACACATACCTCCACACACCATAGTCGAAGCTGAAAAATGCTTTCTAACCATCAAATTTGCCGCAAATGTGTTCTTCAGACCCCTTTTTTAAAAGTTATCTATGATTTTGGCGGTTGTGCAATGACTGGATAGAAAAAATCTTTTCATCTGTGTAGAGGAGGCCTCTCAAGTAGGCCAGGCGCGACCAAGCGCACCATCTTCTTTGCTAGACGCTTTCGTTTCTTCTGGGATTTGTCGCCCAAGACGTGTGCTTTGGCCAATTTGTAGCTAAAGAATCTTAGTTTCCCTTTAACAATCCTTCCAACGCTTCGAGGGCTAATTTTCAACTGTTTGCCCATCTTTCGCATCGACCGCAGCTCGTTTTAGCGAATCCGAAAGCGAATTTCGTTGATGTTCGTAGGTGTTACGGCAGCTGGTCGTCGACCACTTCAAGGCGATCCTTGTTGTTCTTTATCGCCTTGTAGCGTTTAATTGTTTTGTTGACGGTGCTTTTTGGATATTTCGTGATTTTTACAACCTCCGGGCTATTTTTTCCGCCTTGGTATGATCCGAGAATCACATCGCGTCGTTTTTTGGCGTTCATTCTTACGAATTTTCTCCTAAAAAGAAAATTTTTGTAACAAATCACCTTAACTATACTCGAAAAAGGGAAAAAAGTATACGAGACACAAAAAAAGCGTGGGCTAAATTTTCTACAATGTTTTCATAGCGGCTCCGAACTTTTGCCGCACCCTGTATAGAAAAGTTATTAAACCAGTTTGTTTCAGATTTCAATTGAGCTCAAGCACCTCCCCAATCATATTGTTCAACTAGTTGCACTTCAAGCGGTAGGTATAAAGGAGTTGAAACGGACTCCGTCAAATCTTTCATATCGTTGATTGGTCTAAAGTTTTGAATATAGCAGATGCATTTCGAAATTCACCTTGCAACTCCAAAATCGAAAAGTTTCAATTTGAATTGCTTGGTGATTCCAATGTTGTCTGGCTTCACATCCTGAAATCCATCCTAGAAAATGATTATGGCAACAGGATTCATTTACTCTGACTTGGATTAGCAGAAGAATGTTTAGAAATGATTTAGGAACATAAATGCTTTATTCCTAAATGTTGTTTGTTGTTGCTGGGCTTCAGGATTCAATTGTTCACGATTTCACGGACTGCTTATGCAAAAATAGTGGAATTCAATACGCGGAATGGAATTGAATTCCATGAAATAGTGGAATTTAATTCAGATTTTCTAATATTTTCTCCAAAAAAGGCCTAGGCTTAGGCTTAGGAGTATACCGGAAGCGAACTCAAATCCGGGCAAAAGATTTTGGAGGCGAGCACACTACCCACTGCGCAACTAGGTCTCTTTTTAAAAAAGAGAGAAAAGTTTATAAGGACTCCCAAAAATCAGCCTAAACTTTGATGCCAGATGTCTCGCCTAACGGAGCTCCTTTGAAGAAAGTAAAAGCATGTTCAGAATCAGCATGGCCGATTCTACAAGGTGCGTCATAATTATGGGCCCCGATAAATCAGTCGGTACTAACCAGAAAACAAGTCGCCCAAAAATAACAAAGTTTTTATAACAATCTTTATTTATATGTTAACAAAATTCAAATTTCAAAAATTCCTCCGTCAGCGGCGACGCAGGCTTCAAGACTTGGGCGCAAGACGTCAACTGTGGCATGCAAGTAGGCATCATCAAGTTCGTCCCATGCTTTAAGGAGCGCTTTCTTTAACAAGTCAACTGTTCGATGTGGCTTAGCACAGACCTTAGCTTGTAGTTTTAGAAATTCCCATTTAGCGTGACATCGCCGGACTGATCGTTCGGAGTTATGACACAACCTCTCTCGCACTTTTTTGATGTTGGACTGAATCACTACAGAACGCCATTTTTCTCGACCGGCTCTATTAGCATTTGTTTCCTATTTCTTGAAGCGTTTAATCGTTTTCTTCACGAGCCTCGTAGAAACTCCCAAATCTTGAGAAATTGCACGTGTCAAAAGCCCCCGTCGATGCAACGCTATGATCGAGTTTCGATGAACACTTGGCTTGACCATCTCTAAAAAACACTATATAATCTCAGAAACTATATTAAATAACAAGGGTAAGCATGAAAAAGCAAAAGATATAAAATAACAACATATGGGTGGCACCAAATGGTCACAGATAAAGCTGACACCTCCATAATTATGACGCGCCCTGTAAAAGCCCGTGGCTCTCGTATTAAAAGGCCACCGGTTGCCTTTCCCTAGTTGGCTAGAAAGCAACTTCATGAATTAAGCTTTCAACTAAACATTACAGTAACCAACCCGATGCATGATCCCACGTTGATGCAGGTAATCGAGTCCTTGCAAGGTCTGAATGAGAATCGATCCCAGATGGCGATGATCACGAAGTTCTGGCTTTGGCGTGGCATCTTTCTTTTTCCTTTGCCTAAATTTTAAGAAGATTATAGAGAGTTTCTAAGACTGCCCTTCCAACTGACTATAACATCAATTTTAATGAATTCCAAACTTTCAGACCTGAAAAAATCTGATAGCTTGAAGTCCATTCTCTCTGTGACAATCCACACATGATTCAAGATCCCTTGCTCACCAAAACTCCAAAAAGAGTCTCTCATTTCAGCGATCTAAACTATTTTGGGTTATGAGGAAATTTGAAGGAATAGTTTACATTATCGTGCATCAAATACTGAAGATTTTGGAACTCTCGAAGCAATGACGTGTAGCCATATAGGGCTCGATTTGTAATGAAACTCCCGATGTTGTACCCAAAATTTGATTCAATTTGATTCAAAGGTCAAAAGTGGTATGAAAGTTACTTTTTCAAAACGACTCTTTCGGTTTTGATTCCAAAGAGACCTTTGATCTCACGCAAAGCCGCTCTGGAAAAGGTTTTATCTTGAAAGCGAGTTTACATCAAGAAATTTTGCGGAAAATGTCTCACACAGCAATCACGGTGCTCCCTTCGCCAATTTTGTGGTACATCTTTTCATCTAGACCCTCCGAACGATAGCTGGTGTCGCTCTACAATGAGAATAAGAGGTTAAAAGGGTTTAAGGAGCAGATTCATGTAATATTTTAGATTCAAAATATGGCAAATGCGTAATTACAAGGTTGATGCAAAAGAAATTTCGATTGGTATGAAATGTTCTCGTTTTTTTTAATCTGAAAATCTTATGATTTTCTTTTGTATTTTTGGATATTTACTTTATTTTTACGCTTTTTCTAAGTAGGAGCTCTTTTCTAAGTCAGTCAATTTGATCAATTTGATCAATCAACAATTGTCTGCCATTTGGAAATAATCGGAAAGACTGATTGTAATGAACGATGGGTTACAGATTAATTGAACACCGAGAATCTCAGAGCACGCGTTCTGATCAGCCATATCTTGCTTCTCAAGTCGAAAAGAAGCCATCTATTTGAGAATATCTTGACGATAGACGAGAAGTGGATTTATCGATAACACTTCTCGAAAAAGATAATGGCTCAGCAAAGGTCAAATGCCAATTCCAACTCCAAAGCCGGATTATCATGGGCACAAAGTGATGTTGTCTTGCTGGTGGAATATCAAATTATTTTGAATTATTAGTTGATTAGTTGAACAATTGATTCACCTTGTTCTATTCAGCAGCTCAAGAAGGTTGACCAAATCTTGCGTCAAAAGGGTTTAAATCTCTCGACTGTCAAATTTTCTCCGTGAGAACGTGCCAGCTCACACAGCGAGAGCTTCTTGTATGAAGTTAGAGGAATTAGGATGGAAGGTCTTACTGCGCCATAGAGTCCAGACTTATCACCATCCGATTTTCACCTCTTCAGATCGATGCAACATTGTCTTGCGAATTGTCAGTTTAAGAATGCGCAAGAGATCGAGATTTGAGTGACCGACTACTTTCAATCACAGAGCCAAGAGTTCTTCGATAAGGGAATCCGAAAAATTTCTTTTGCATCAACCTAGTAATAATATTGTATCATAGCTACTAAAACTCTAAGTTTCATTATTTTTGAACATGGTCCAGACTTTTACCCAGTTTGATTCATGTTTGATATACTCAGCTGTAGCTTACACCTCAAACTTTTGTCTGGAAAAGTTTAAACTCAAAATATTATCTCATTTTTGACAAGCACTATCATATATTGCATTGGTGAATTGAAAACTGCCGGCTATTGTCATATGTGACAGTTTGAGCAGTTTCTTCAAAAGAAACCCATTTTGGTATCAATGGAAAAGTTGTAGAGAATGAAAAATCAAGCTTATATCCAGATTTTCAGAATGATTCAAAAACTGGTTTTCAAGAAATGCCAAATTTACACAAAAGAAATGCCAAATTTTCACAAAACTCGCATTTTAAGCGAAACTACTAAGTGTATCTTTTTGTAAATTTGGCTATAAGCCTAATTTTTGATTCTCTACAACTTTTCTATTGACACCAAAATGGGTTTCTTTTGAAGAAAGTGCTCAAACTGGGCTGGCAGCTGACATCTCCAGTCCTCCATTTTTGAGTCTCACACTTGTCTCACACACAAACCAAAATCCTACTACGAAAGAGGAATCCGCAAATTGTCTGTAAAATGGGCAGAAGTCGTCAATAATAATGGAAATTATTTGGAAAGAATTGATGGTTTTATGTTGAATACATTTTAGTTCAAAGTCCGGCAGTTTTCAGTTCACCAACCCAATACATCATGAAATCATTATGGTTATTTGTTTACAGAATTTATTTCTGAAACTTGCTAGATCCGGTCGATAATCGCTAGGAATCAGGGCTGTCATTATTTTCGCTTTTCCTTCCGTATCTTTCTCACAATCAATTTGAATCGTTTGCGATGGGGTTCTTGAAGGATCATCCTGGAAAAAACAATGATTTTAGAAAAAACAACGACAACAAACCGTTGATTGCTCCATAGAAGGATCGTCCATTCTAATGAAATTGTGTTAAAGTACTCAAAAAGTTGTAATTGAATTGAAATTTCTCGGCAACAGCAACTAAAGCTTGCAACTAAAACTCACATTTTAAAATTTTGCAAGAGAATTGCAAAAAATCGATATGCCACTTGCGTCTTTTTTGGTATTTTTTCGCCTCCGCCGTTTTTTGGTTCATGATAAGAACTTAAAAATGGGATGTGTTGTTTGTAAAACATCGATTTCAAGAATTTCTCATTTTATTCACAAAATACAAGTTATTTACAATTCATTGCGATAATTTCAAGAATTTGTCGATTCAAATTCTTGTGGTAACTTTTCTGACAAAATTCTCCTGTCCAATAGAAGGAAAAGTAACAGCAAATGATTAAAATTGTGATAAAATCATTGATCAAAATGTTTTGAGTATATTTATATCCCAGTAAGCTTACTTCTTAGCAGAAAAACACCAATAACGAAAATGATTTGATGGAGATTCAGGATTGAGCTGAAAAATAGGTAGATCGTAGCCGCTACCTAAAACAAAGCAAAGCTAGGTAAGAATCGCAACAAGAATGAGAACTTTTGTTCACTATTTAAAGAGAAAATTAGCTGACAAGTACTGTAACGAGACACGATTTAGAATTTCAATAATTTGACTGAATATTTTTTCCGCTAATAAAAGCACTCGCACAAATTGCCCCTTTGCCATTTCTTTCATTTGTTAGGCTCAGGCTTAGGCTCAGGCGCAGGCTCTAAGCTCTGTTGAAGTACTGGCAACATCAAAGACAACCTCCAAGTCTCTCAATTTTTTTCTCAAGGAAATTCACAAACCATATTACTTAAATTTTGCGTGGGTGAAACTATCATAGTTGAAAAATTATTAAAAATTTGATAAATCAAGCGGGATCAATTGCTTGTTTAGGAACTTTTGGCGGATTCCCCATACAGTCCGGACCGGAGTTTTTCGATTTAAAACCAAAATCCTACCACGAAAGAGGAATCCGCAAATTGCCTGAAAAATGGGCAAAAGTCGTCAATAGTAATGGAAATTATTTGGCATGAATTTATGGTTTTATGTTCAATAAATTTTGGCTCCAAGTCCCGCAATTTTCAATTCAACAACCCAATATTTATCATATCAAGAAGTCCAGCTATTGCATTAGTTGGTAATATCTTTTTGAATTTTTTATTTCACGTTGATTTTACGATCTCATTTATTCATTCCGTTCCCTACACCTGGTTAGAAAAGTTTTTAAGCACGTTGAGCAAGATTTTCTTGTCACGTTCGTTCTTTGCCACATGGTCGTTGGCTGAGATCGATGGATACTTTCTTAAGATAGCTGCCTGAAAAGCTAGTTGTAAATAGAGTTTAATAAAGGCTTACATTTATTTCTTTTAAATAGGCGTGGCGGAGAAGGTCGTTGGCCAACGGTCGTCGGGGATTGATTGTCAACAAACGAGTGAGTAGATCTTTCAGGTTCTTTTCTGTAACGAGTACTGATTGAATTCTGTTAAAGAAATAAGAATCTTTAGTAGAATATGCTTCAATAGTGTGTCCTCTAAAACTTAAACTTACCTTTACCTTCTCGTAATCTCGTAACTTAACATCTAAAAAGTATCAACTTTCAAAAACAACCGTAACCTCTTTAGTGGTTCACTCACTAATATCATAATAGCCCAATAAAAGTTGCATCTGCTATGTTATAAATCGCCTACCATTCAAATCTTTAACACTAGGTCCAAGCCTCTTCAAGCCCTCATCCAAAAAAGCCTCAAAAGTTGATTCACGCAATTGCTCTGCTTTCAACCTGTCCCCGAAACTGAAACGCTCGATTGAGGCAACTTTAGACTTGGTTTCAATTCAAGGATGAAAACATCGAGTAAAGTAAAGTTAAATGTGTCAGAACGTACAATGCTTCGTACTTGTCTTCCGGCAACCCAAACACTTCCAGAATCCGGGGCACGATTTGCTCTTTCTGAAAGTCCTCATGGTACACGGAAAATGTTTTGTTGTTGATACCTTTGTCACAGCTTTTATGTCATAGAGTGGATTGTTGAGAAACTCGAGTACCACCAAACCCGTTGACCAAATGTCAACTAAAGTTATTTGGCTTTCAAATTTCAGTGCTAGCAGTAAAGCGTACCTCCGCGATCGTATTGTTGCCCTAGTTGCACTTCCAGCGGCTGAAATAAAGGAGTTGAAGCCATGTGTGTCCTATCGTTATTTGTGTTGATCGACCTGAAGCGGTCATGTTTTCCTAGCAGTAAGCAGAGATACAATTCTGGCAACTGAAAGAGTTTACACTGAAAATCTACCCACCTAGCAACACCAAAGTCAAAAATTTTCAAGTGACTATCAGAGTTAATTCCGATGTTTGCCGGCTTCACGTCCTAAACTTTGTCATTTACGCACAAGGGTGTGGTGGTCAAATGACACAAGCCAAATACTATTCGACGCAGAATTTTACGCTGATACCGAATTTGTTTTCCGTTTTAGCTAAATAGCACTCTGTCAGAAATTATAAGCATGCAAAGTTTTGTATGGAAATTTATAAATCATGCCTGCATTTTATAAACAGATTTTCCAGAGACTATAAAGAGCAGTGGCGGCCGAGTGGTAGAACGCAAGGCAAGGTCTCTCGAGTTCTAGCCCGCAGTTTAACTTTCTTTTTGCTTTTTTAGAGGTAATTGATCTCCATTTCAAATATCTTTTTTTCTTTTTCAAATTACTTCTCATAAAAATGTTAACTTTTAACTAATAACAACTAGACTTTTAACTGGTACTACGCCTTTTAGAAGTGGGCGTCCAACTACGCCAGTTTGGGGGCACTTTTTTTTTCTTCAAAAGCACTTTTTCTGCGGTAGTTTCATGCGTAGATTCCGACACAACCAGAGCTGGGGAAAAGGCGCTTTAAGCCGAGTTTCGGGGCTCCAAAGTGCGCGCTAGACTATCAATCGGCCACCACTGTTCTTTATAGTCTCTAGGACATCTGTTTATAAAATGCAGTCATGATCGAATAGTATATGGCTCATGTCATTTGGCCACCAGACCCGTTGGCATTCCCTTGTGAGTTGAGATTTAAACTGAACTAACTCGGTGCATGATTCCCATTTGATGCAGATAGTCGAGTGCTCGCAAGATTTGCACAATCATCGAACCCAACTCGCGATGATCACGTGGCTTTTCGTTTGGGCCGCCGTCTCTTTGTGCTCGATGTCTTTAAAGGATCAATACCTTTACAAGTTGTATTACCAACCGGAAAAGACCATCAAGTGTATAAGTCATTCTCTCGGTGACAATCCATAATGAATCCAAATTTCCGACCGCGTTAAGACTCCAGAAAGAGTCCTTCATTTCAGCGATCTGAAATTTTCTTTAATTTGTCTCGTCTCAAGATAAACATCTAGTAACAAGTACTCAGCTTTGAAAACTTTGAAATTAATATCCCAATACCCAACATTTTCATGAGACAAGTACTGCAGATTCTGGAATTCCCGAAGCATCGACGTGTAGGTATCCCGGTTCGGATCGAGAATTAAAGGATCAAATTTGAAACTGAATGTGAAGTATGCGTTGAAAGATTGCCAACTCACCGCTTCAAAACAACTCTTTCGGATTTCGACTCCTTCGTTTCTCGTATCGCAGCGCTAACAGTTTTAGTTTTTGATACGTATAAATTTTGCTTACATTGCTATCCCTAAGCTTCCTTCCCCGAGTCGATGATAGACATTTTTATCCAAACTTTCTGGCCGAGCAGATGTCTTCTCGTTCTAAAACGTTGAAAATGTGGAATTAGGAAATTGTACTTTCAAGGTGAAATGGCTAAACGGCTTCATTTAACTGAAATGGCTTCATTTGACTCACCAAATCTGGGCGATAGTTAGAGGGGATCGTATCTAAGAGTTCCCTTTCGTTCGGTCTCGGTTCGATTCGGATTGGCTGCGATTTTGTTAGTGAAGCGGTTTGTTGCACAAAGTTATCAGTTTGCTAGAATTTTACTTTAAATCTTCTTTTTATAGTCGATCAGAAGTAGAAACAAAACTGTAAAAAAGACAAACCGTGGCTTGATCTTTCGTTAAAACGGTCATATTACAGAATAAAACAAGTTTCCAATAGAATAGTCACAAAAGTGCAGCACTGTTTGCAATAAGAACTATTAGAATTTCTCAGAAAAGGCAGAAATCAATTTATTGTGAGTCATTTTTCTTTTGTCATTTTATGGCTGCTTGGTAACGCGCGATAACGAACTGCAGTCTAAGCAGTACCAGTTTGCCTTTGCTGTACTAAATTATAATTTTTGTACAACTTTACAGCTCAAGATCTTTTTTTGTATTATCAAAAAAAAAAATCCCTGCGGAAATGGTTTTTTTTGGGCAGCCAAAAAATGATTTACCGATTTACTTTAGCCATTTCTAAATGAGACTTCAACAAATTATATAACTACACCTAATCGCCGACAATTTGGTTTTAAATCCGTCCCTTTTCGACAATCGGTCCCTATTCAGACCCCTCTTTAAGCTAGTAAATAAACAACTCTAGAAAAATTAAAAGTAACAAACCGTCGATTGATCGATTGGCGAATCGCTCATTTTAACAGGTGTAGTCGATTTTTTAAAGAAATTTGTGGCGTATTTTTTGAGCACCAAACTTGAGCACAAGTGAATTTACGAAAGTTTAACCCGAAAATGCTGTAATTTGTTAAGTTTATCTGTTAATTTTCAGTGCCTTGCTTCTAATTGTCCGAAAAAGTACTAAAAAGCAAATCTTTATTTTCGAACTGTGCCCAATGAATCCTTTTTAGCTATTTATTTCCTTCTCATAATTGCGTAGAAAAATTTTTGAGTGTTTTGATGAGCGTTTCCTTGTCACGTTCATTTTGCGTTGATTCGTGATCGTCGAGCGTATTTTTGCACTGATTTGCCTTTTCCTTTGCCTTCTTCAAGCGTCCAGCCTAAAAACGTTCATAGGAAGCTCATGGAAAATCGTTTACATTCACTGCTTTCAAATATTTATGTTCCAGAAGCTCTCTTGCCAAAGTTCTTCGTGGGTTGATGCAAAGCATTTTACCGAGAAGATCTTGAAAGTTCTCCTCTAAAGTTGACTAAGTGGATTGAAATTAACGTGACTCCAGATTAGATTCGACACTACCGTAATGATTCCAGTAGCAAGTTCCCTGGTCTTGCATATAAAAGCTCCTAGAACCACTAGAAGCCTCAGAGAACCAAAGCAAGCTAGACCTGGCTTCTAGCCTTGCTCAGCTTCACTTACATCGCTTTAGGCTCAAGTTAAACACCACAGATCCTACCATTCAAATTCCCAAGTGCAGGTCCAAGCCGTGTGCAGGCTGTGGTCAGAAAAGCGTTGAAGATACCATCACGTGGCTTCTCATGTATCAACTTGTCTTTGAAACTGAAATTTCATCGACTAATTGGTATTTGACATTTGGTAGCCCCAAGCGCCTTTTAGAATGGTCCCTTTAAACGATAGAACTTACAATTCCTTGTACTTGTTTCCTGGCACTCCAAAAACATCAAGAATCCTTTGTTTGATTTTTGGTTTCTAAACATTAGCATAGGTATCTGGAGTCTAATCATGGCAATAAACAGTCACAAACCGAGTTCACACTTGCCGGGTAGAATGGATGATTGAGAAAATCAAGTGCGACTAAGCCGGTTGCCCAAATGTCAACTAAACAACTCAACTCAAAAGCTTTCAAGTTAAAGTACCGCCCCAATCGTACTGTTCCACTAGTTGCACTTCAAGTGGTAGATATAGGGGAGATGAAGCGCCTTCTGTCAAATCTTTCATATCGTTGATTGGCCTGAAGATTTAAATATGGCTCACAGTCTTAAAAGTCACCTTGCAACTCCAAAATCGAAAAGTTTCAAATCGAATTGCTTGCTGAGTCCAATGTTGTCTGGCTTCACATCCTGAAATTTGAAGGGTAGTCCCATATTAATGTGTCTCAATCAGCGCTATTCCCAGACTCGATTTTCTAGGTCAAACAAGCGAAAGCCAAAGCCAAGTTGTTTATAAGCAATTCCAAAGGTTCTTATATTGTTACAAAATCTCTGAGATTATTCTTGGTTTTGGCCTAGCCCGTGAGTTTTGGCTTTTCGGAAAAGTCCGGGGTTTTTGGATTCAGAAATTGGAGTTTAACAACAAAGCCTAAAAGCTATCACATGCAACCAATTAAATTGAAAATATCATTAAACCAACTCGATGCATGATTCCCCGTTGATGCAAATAGTCAAGTGCGTGTAAAATTTGAACAAGCATCGATGAGAGATGGCGATGATCACGTGGTGCTGGCGTTGGCGTATCGTCTTTTTTCGCTGCAGTTCTGAATTTCATCCAGAAACCCGTTAAGGATGGCTCAGATGACCAACAAACCTGAAAAAATCCGATAGCTTGAAGTCCATTCTTTCCGTGACAATCCACACATGATTTAAGGTTCCTTTCTCGCTAAAACTCCAAAAAGAATCCTTCATTGTAGCAATCTAAACTGCCCATTACTTCTAGATCAGATTTGACTTCAATCTCACATTTTCGTGCATCAAATATTGAAGATTTTGGAATTCCCGAAGGATTGTTTTGTAGTCAACCTGATGGACATTGAAACCTTCAATATCGTATCTAGATCTTTGTTATTTTTCTGGTTTTGAAATTTCAAAGTTATAAGATTTCAAAATTTTACTTCTTCAAAACAACTTTCTCCGTCCGAGTCCCAGAAGCGCCTTTGACTTCTCGTACGGCAGCTCTGAAACTTGTCAGCTATGAATTGGGGAATCTGGAGAAAGCAAAAAATTCTTACACAGCAACCCCTGTGCTCCCTTCGCCCAATTTGTGATAGGTCGTGGGCTCCAAATCTTTTGGTCGATAATCAGCGTCAATCCAAAATAGAAACGTTATTTAGGGGCAATTTGTTGAAAAGTTTCTTTGAGTTTAACTTTTGGTGATGATATTCTTCTTTTGCTTAGTACATTAGTACATAGTAGAAATGTGCACTTGGTCCGTATCAGTTGGTCCGATCTCTGTCCAGTCCGAGCTGAGACCGGACCGAGACACCAGACGGCAGAGTACCGGACCGAGTGCACATGTCTAGGACATAGGTATATACAATTCATTTGATTACCAAGGTTTCAAAAACTCACTAGATCAGGACGGTAATTACTGGGAATCTTGGTATCGAGAATTTTTTGCTTTCCATCGGCATCCTTCTCGAGATCAATTTTAATTAGTTGTGAGTTGGGTTGTGAAGTTTCCTATGAAATTACTAAAGCAAAATTGACAAATTGACAAACCGTTGATTGATCCATTGGTGAATCGCTGATTCTCGAAATGTTTTCCCGTGTTTAAAGACAAATGTTAACAGCTTTAAATTTTTGCAGGAAAATGTTGCTAAAATCAATAGCTTTTGTGTTTTTGTCCAGTCTCTTTTTCTTCGTCCTTTTACAGGCTTGCGATAAGAGTTTGGCAGTCTTAGTTTGCAATGAACATAAAATAGCTCAAGAAATTACCGAAAATTGATCGAATAATCATTTACTCAAACTCAAGTCACTGGAATAGTGAAAAACTTTGCAACACAATTAATATAGAAGGGTTTTAAACGGAAAAGTTTTTGGGTAGACAGTTCAAAAACAGAAAAGCCGAAAATGATGAGCTCAATAAATCCTTTTATTAATGATATTAACTTTTTATGAACACAATGTCTGTTTATTTACATTCTATTGCGATTTTTAATAATTTGTCGATTCGAATTCTTGAGGCAACTTTTCTTCTGATGAAACTCTCCTTTCCGATAGATTTCGGATATAGGAAATGTAGCAGAAAACGCCTAAAATTGTGATAAAATCATTAAGCGAATTGCTTTTATGAAAACTTATATTCCAGTAAACTTACTGATCAACAGAACAACGCCAATGACGCAAATGATTTGATGAAGATTCAGGATTGACCCCAAAGATAGGCAGATCGTTTGAGCAGCTGCCTGAATGCTTTCAGAATTAAAATAGTGAAATGAAAAAGGTGAAAACTGAACTGAATTCGAGTTTTTTTGACTTACTTGATAAAATTTCGATACACTGAAAGCAATAGCCGGCTCGTCGGGTAGTCCCTTTGCTGCAGCGACCATTCTCGCGTTGTTCGCCGATCCGTCAAGTGCTCCAGTCAAAACACCAAGTAAAATACAGATCCATTGACTGAAATGATATGTTCTCTTTAGTCAGTATTTTGCATTTACTTGTATTTAAACCTGTATTTAGCTCAAGAAAAAAACCTGTACAAGTTTTCAATGTTTTCTTGAATGTTTCTTTTAGAAATGAGCAAAGATTGGTTGACATCGTTTTATTTGAGAAAAGAAACGTTCTTGTGACTGCTTAGGCTTTACTGTTACTTATCTATTGAACTAACTTTGTTTCAAAGATTGCATGATCTTTTGTCGGTCCAATAGAAGCCATTGCCGGGGTAAAGAGAATCATTAGAACAGCCACGATCACATAAAGTACACAAGTAAGAGACATTGCCGGAATAAGCCCAAAGTCACGAATTCGTTTGCTCAAAAGCGTGATTGAGAAGCCAACTGGAAATGGAAATGGAAATCTGGCCTTGAAAACTGTTCCAAGCACAATCCCACCGTCATTAAAACACTCACCTATGAACTCTCCCACACAACAAGCGATACAGTAATATGCCACAAGATTCTTATTCCTGGCCAAAGAATCCGTGAATGACATGGTCGTCGGATAAATGGTCAAGAACAATGAGATGAATGAACCGGTGGACATGAAAAGGAAAGAGACTTTCAGCAATGATTTTTGTCTCATCGCCCAGAATACTTTGCCTAAAGAATTTCGATTTCTGGTGCGAAGATTTGACACTTACAAATCTGTTTCTTCAACGAGACTTCATTTTTGACTTTCTTTTGCAATGATCCCTGGAGTTCTCTTTTCGGGAGAAGAAAGGCGAGGATAATTGAAGCGAGAGCTAAGACTGACATTCCGATTGATAGCAAATGGATCTCTTTGTCGGAGAATTGACGGTACTCAGCGTCATTCTGAATTCGATATATTGCTTGGTGTTTTCGCTATGAATTTTCACACAGTTTAAGCTCAAGCTTTACTCAAAAGTTGTCAAAACTAAAGCCATTAGAACTGTTTTTCCTAAAAGACATTAAAAGTACACACTAGTTTTGGGAATTTTCGGTGTGAATGCCAAAAGGTGTGGAAAAATAGCATATCTCGTTTAATTTCACTCCGATCTTTTTGATTTTAATATCAATTGACGCAGAGTTTAATTTTCTATCGATTGAAATCAAAGACAAAAAAGTTTGGAGTGAAATTAGGCAAGATATGGTATTTTTCTGCTGAACATCTATTGATCTTCACACCGAAAATTCTCAGGTCTGGTGCAAATCCAGTTTGCTGTGGACTACGATAGTTTTCTAAAACGAGCGCCTTTTAGAAAACGTATCACAAAGTTCTAAAGCGACCCTATTCAAAAAACTACCCTAGAACTTGTTTTTGTATGTTTATCGCTGAAATCCGGAACTTCCTTGCTGAGATTTTTGAGCGTGCAATGATTAATCAGCTCATCAATCAAGGAAATATACCTCTGTTCCCTTTGCTGAAATCTCAGTCTCATTTCCTGGATGTTCCTTCAAAACACTTGCCGAAAAGATCAAAAAAGTGCCGCTCAAAAGAGTTCTAGACATCGATCATGGTTTTTTTTCAACAATAGTCCCTCTTACGTTAACGAAGCGACCATCCACTGGATTGATTGATTTCGAGAAAGGAAACGATCGGTTGAATGTCGCAAAGCATATGATCCACCACCAGCATAAAACACTGAAAAGGAAATCGGTTTTTGTAACTCCCAAAAATAACACTAGAGATTCATTAGATGATGCTTAGATGATTCATTAGATTCATTAGACAATCAGATGATGCTTTAGTGGCCGATGTTTGTTAAAGCTGGGTTTAAAAGCTTCTAACTAACGAATTGAGTGAGAACTCACGAGCAAACGCGAATCCACAACAGACATTTGCCGGGAAAAAGAAATATGTTCGTAGATAAAAGAAGTTCGCAGCATAGACACTGAATAAAGTTGAGGAAAGGATTAGACAGCCCTTAGCGCCGAGAAGTGGTAGGAAACACGGCGCAATCAGGTTACCGATCGTGTACGAGAAGCAGAGGACGGCTGTTCTGAAAAGGCAATAGTTAATAGTTAATATAAATGGCAATAGTTAATTAATACAAGGACAAGTTAACAATGACAGTTATATGAATGTTTTGTTACCCATAATATCCAGCGAATTGAATGATACACTCTGGACATCGTTCTCGAACTGAGTGACAAATTGGTTCCACCAAGAATGACATCATATCGAAGCCAAAAAAGCACCACATTTGGAGAACACCTAGGAAAACAAATAACAGTAAGAAAACACACAGACTAATAATTCTAGAACTGAATACAATAGTTGAACTTTTGTCTTTGAGGTCTCTGGATCTTGTTCTGTCTTTGAGATCTGTCTTTGAGATCTCTGGATCTCTGGATCTTTGAGATCTCTGGAGGTCTTTGAGATCTTGCTCAGCATCCGGAAATCTCATAAACTAAAGTTCAACTATTGTATTAAGTATTGACTAAATGCTGCCTCAGAAAGCCTTCAAGTTTTCTGTCTTGGCTTTAATGTTGGTTTTTAACTTAATCAGTTTTAAGTAAAGATATCTTAGTTAACTTTAAGTTAACTCTTTTTTGACTCGTTACAACTACCGTTCTATTGTTACGATTACCGTTTCACCGTTACGACTACCGTCCTACCGTTACAACTACCGTTCTATTGATACAACTACCGTTCTATTGATACAACTACCGTTCTATTGTTACAACTACCGTTCTACCGTTACGACTACCGTAACTTTATGCTTACTGTAGTCTTACTATAGTTATTAAAATGTGTTTCTATCAATTGATGCGCTTTCTAAACCGTCACTTTTCAAAAACTATTGTTTTTGAAACCAACCAAGCAATGTCGAAGTCCATAGCATAAATCGATCATCGTTCATTTTTCCGTGATTCCAAGTTTTGGTTGTTGACCACAATGACCGCTTTTTTGCGTGCAAGAAAAACATTGCAATCGTTAAATACCTATTCCTTCTTGTTCCTGTTTATCAATCATCAGTGTGATGAAACTCGCACAAAAAATTGAGATCTCTCTGCACCCTTTTGACAGGATTAACCTATTCAGCGAAGATTTGCATAAATCATGACTTTTGCTGAGAAAATCGGGTTCAAAGTTGATACATTTTCAAAGAGCGAACAACTTTTGAACAGCTTTTGTCTATCTGTCTATCTAGTTCTAACCAGGGAATGTTCAGATTTCGCAAGCACGAATCCGAACCAAAGCCGAAGTATATGAAT